TCTTTAATAAATAGCTATCAGTAATATGCTTTCTTAGTAGGAATTTTTGAGAAACTTTAATGCTTTTCTTGAAAAGATAAAGGGGAAATTTTAATTGTTAGTGAATAGCTGCTTTTCTTTTTTGTTAATCATTAAATTTATGGGTACATTTTAGGTATACAATATGATAACATTCATCCTTGGGAGTTTGTACCTGTATATGATATATCGTGGTTCTTATTTTTTCCCCATTCCCCTGTCTGCCCTTCAACCCCTCTACCTTCCCTATTTACAAAGACTTTGTTTCTGTTTTCCTTTTCTCATTTTTTCCTTTCCTTTCTTGCCTTTCCCCTACCCTCCTCCTTCCTCTTCCCCTTCCCCTTCCCCTTTGGACCTTTTCTTCCTATTTCACATTATCTATTATATATTTTGGTCTTTATTTAAACTTGCAGTTTCTCACACTAGAGAAATATTCGGTATTTACACATGTGTATCCTATTTACTTCACTTAAGAGTATAGCCTCAATGTGCATCCATTTAGCTATAAATGTCTCTAGTTTCTCCTTTTTATGGCTGAGTAGTACTCCATTTTATATATATATATAAAAAGTCTTCTTTATCTATTCACCAGTTGATGGGGATTTGGGCTGTTTCCAAGATTTAGCTATCACAAACTGTGCTGCTATGTTTACATGGGTGTGCATATATTGCTGTGGTATGATGCTTTTAATTCTTTTGGGAAGATACTGAGCTGGGGAATAGCTGGGTCAAATGGGACCTCTAATCCTAGTTTTTTGAACTATCTCCATACCCACACTGATTTCTACAGTGGTTGCACCAGCCTCACTCCCACCAACAGTGGAGAAGGGTTCCTTTTTCTCCAGCAGTTGTTATTGGTTGATTTCTTTCTTTCTTTTTCTTTCTTTTTTTTTGGTACAGGGGATCGAACTAAGGACCTTGTCCTTGTCCTTGCCCTTGTGAGGCAGATGGCAACACCACTGAGCTAAATCCCTAGGTGGTTGATTTCTTGATAGCAGCTATTCTTTCTGCAGTTTGGTGGAATCTCAGTGTTGTTTTCATTTGCACCTCTTGAATGACCAGTGATATTGAACATTTTTTCATATGCTTATTTGCTGTTTCTACTTCTTTGTCTGAGAAATGTCTGTTCATTTCAGATGCCCATTTTTGGATTGGGTCTTTAAATTTGGGAGGTCTGATTTTTTTAAGTTCTTTGTATATTCTAGATAGTAGACCTTTGTCTGAGGAGCAGCTGGTAAAAAATTTTTTCCCATTATCATGGGTTGTCTCTTCACTCTGGTAGTGGTTTCTCCTGCAGTGAGGAAGCTTTTTAATAAGATGAGATCCCAGTAGTTTTCCAGCAGGTTTAGTGTTTCTGTTTTAATATTTAGATCTTTGATCCATTTCGATTTTAGTTTAGTGCTTGTTGAGAGACATAGGTTTAAGTTTACTCTTTGGCAAGTTGAAACCCAATTTTTCTAGTACCATTTATTAAAGAGTCTTATTTTTCCACCACTGAGGTTGTTTTGCTCCTTTGTCAAAGATGAAGTGGCTGAGTATGTCTGGAATTGTTTCTGCATCTTCTAACCTGTTCCATTGATTTTCAGGTCTGTTTCTTTGCCAGTACCATGCTGTTTTTAATCACAGTAGCTTTGTAGTATAGTTTCAAATTGGGGATTTTTATACCCTCTACCTTGTCTTTGTTGCCCAGAATTACTTTTGCTGTTCTAGGCCTCTTCTTGTTCCAAATGAATTTTTGGATTGTTTTCTCTAGTTCTGTGAAATATGTTGTTGGAATTTCAATTGGGATTGGATTGAATCTATATAGCAGTTTTGGAAGTATGGCCATTTTCACTATATTGGTTCTTCATCCCCAGGAGCAAGAGATGTCTTTCCATTTTCTGATAGCCTCTTTGATCTCTTTTTTCAGAGTGCTGTAGTTTTCCAAGAGAGGTCTTTAATTTCTTTTGTTAGATTGATTCCTAGGTATTTCATTTTTTGGGGATGCTGTTGTGAAAGGAGTTGTTTCTCCAGTTCCTCTCTTAGTGAGTATGTTTTTCATGTACAGGAAGGCTATTGATTTTTGTGTGTTGACCTTGGATCCAGCCACGCTAATGAATTTGCTTTTTAAGTCTAGAAGACTTTTGATGGAGTTCTTGGGGTCTTCTATATAGAGTATCATGTCATCTGCAAATAATGACAGTTTGACTTCTTAATTTCCTATCTTTATTCCTTTTATTTCTTACTCTTGTCAATTGCAGTGGCTAATGTTTTCAGAACTTTGATTTTAGCATGAAGGATTTCAGTTTTTGACCATTTAGTATGATGTTGGCTGTTGTTTTTTCAGAGATAACCTTTATCATGTTGAGATAAAGATTGTTTCAATTTTCTGTAAGGTTTTTATCATGAATGGGTGCTGGATTTTGTTGAATGCTTTTTCTGCGTCTATTGAGATGATCTTATGGTTTTTGTCCTTGGCTCTGTGAATATAGTGTATTACATTTATTGATTTGCATATGTTGAACCATCCCTGCATCCCTGGGATGAATCCGACTTTGTCAGGGTGTATAATCTTCTTGATGATCTGCATTTTGTTTGCCAGTATCTTATTGAGGATTTTGTTCATTAGGGAGATTGGCTTATAGTTCTCTTTCTCAGTTGGGTCTTTCTCTGCTCTTGGGATCAAGGTGATGCTTGCTTCCAGGAATAAATTTGGGAGTATTGCTTCCCTTTCAATTTCATTGAAAAGTTTAAACAGTAGTGTCAATAGTTTTTCTCTAAATGTCTTGTAGAATTCAGCAGTAAAGCCATCAGGACCTGGGCTTTTCTATATTGGTAAGTTTTTAATTACATTTTCAATATTGTGGATTAATACTGGGTTGTTTAGAATTTTTAGGTCTTCATTCAACTTTGGTAATTCATATGTATCTAGAAATCTGTATTTCTTCTGTGTTTTCCATCTTATTGGTGTATAGGTTCTCAAAGTAGGTATTTATGTTCCTCTGGATTTCTGCTGGATCTGTTGTAATTTCACTCTTTTCGTTCCTAATTGCATTGATTTGGGCCTTCTCTTTCATTTTTTTGATAAGGTTGGCTAAGAGTTTGTCAATTTTATTCTTTTGAAGAACCCACTCTGCTTCATTGATTTGTGTGTGTGTGTCTGTGTCTCTGTGTGTATGTAGTTCTCTTAGTCTCCATTGCATTAGTTTCTGTTGCATAGCTGCTTTTCTAAAGAAACTTGAACTATAGAAAAAGCATTTTGATGATGGATGTTTGAAAATGGATATCACTATCATTGTATAATTTTGTTGCTGAAAATGACCTGTCACTACAACTGTTAAATCTGCACACTTAACACACTCAGATTTGTTGCTTGTTTCGAAACAGAATTATAAATTTAAAGATTATGATTGGCCTTATTTATTATTTTATGATTAGGCAGAACTTCATTCCATAAAGTAGAATGACCATTTTGATGAGCTGAGCAGAGGAAGTTGGTTTCATAGGTGGAAAATGGCCAAAAAATGGCAGAAACAAAAATTGGATTTGTTGTTTCAAACTTATTTGCCATATAAAATGTAAAGCAAAAATTCTTCCTTAATCATGTCTGTTAGAACTTGCTTGGTTAGGAATTTGGCTCTTTTCTCTCTCCTGATTTCTAAGGAGGTCAGGTAAACAACTTAGTTTTGGGTTGGTGGATGTAGAATTTTAGCGTAAGTGAATCCATTATTTTTTTTTTGTCTTTTTGGGGCCTAGTACAAAGAATGATGGCCTCCTAAGTTTTTTTTTAACCCTTGTTTTGTATTTACATTTATGTGGAGAGGGTTTTTTGTTTTATTTTTTCACTTGCTTTATTAACTTTACCTTTTTCTATGCAAAGAAGTAAAATTCTACTGCTCACAGAAACAGACTGGTTGCAAAGGGAAAATTTAAACTTAGAACCTGGCAGCAAGACCCACTTGACACATGGGCATAACATAAGGTTCACAGCAACCATCAGTACAGGCATATCAGCAAATTGCATAGAAAAGGAAAATATTGGGAACTGCATTATTAATATTATGGAAAATAGTAAAAGTCAGGGTATAAGGCAAAATTCATCATGGTGGTATCACCCATGAATAGAGCATTTCCTCATAAGAATGTGCGAATAGTTCTTCAGGTTTTCTCCTAATTTCTTTCATCTCTATGAACAGTTCCATATCATCTCCATCTCCACCCATCCCAACCCGTCTCAGTCTGTTGAGCATAGCCTATTGAAAATTAAGGCAAGTAGGTGAGCCTGTTCTGGTCTGTTATTTTCTCAGGCTGGTGGCCTTTGCTTCTTCTCAAAGTGTGTGGTCTTCCTCTCCGTTTTGGATGGGTTGCTTTATTTGTTTGATTTCCTGAACCCATCCATATAGGCTTTTCCTCCATCACCTCCTGCCATTTCTTGCCACTAGGTGTCGGATGGTGAAATTTAGGGTAATCTCACTTTGAGATTTTGGGATCAGTTTTTGGAGGATACTGTGGCTGAACTGAATCTCAAAGGAGGAATAAGAGTTAATTGCAAAAAGATGACTAGGGGGCTAGGGATTTAACTCAGTGGTTCTGCCGCCTGCCTTGCAAGCAAAAGGTCCTGAGTTTGATCCAGGGTATCACAAAAAACAAAAACAAAGAAACTTTTATGACCATTATAGTGCTTGAACCCCTATGTTTTTATTCCCCTGAAGATCGGAAGAGCACACGTCTGAACTCCAGTCACCTACCAGGATCTCGTATGACGAAAAAAAAAAAAAAAAAAAAAAAAAAGACAAGGAGCCATGTGGGTAAGGGCATTCAGGTATAAAGTAGCATGCCTTTAGCTTAGGAACCTATTTGTAGATCTTGAAAAGTGAAGTGGTTGGGGACCAGGTGTTTCATTTTATACTCCATTGCTTCTCTGTACAAATATCAGAAGCTGGTTCAAATATTTGTGGATACAATTTCAGTCGGTTTCAATGACTTTTACTTTTCTTTTCCAGGATCAGTTCGACAGTTTAGACAAGCACACACAATGGGGAATTGACTTCTTGGAAAGATATGCCAAATTTGTTAAAGAGAGAATAGAAATTGAACAGAACTATGCAAAGCAATTGAGGTAAGTTAAATTTATTTTTCACTTCATAGAAATTACATGTTTAAACAGTTTAATATTAAATATGGTGTTCCGTAAGTTAAATTCTATATTTTTCATTAGACTTAAATTAAAAATTATAATTGATTTGTTTTAATGATTGATTTAATCAAATCTTTGCCTAGTACCACAAGGAGTATTGGCTAGCTAGATGGTAAGTAGCTTTCTTTGCAGAAAGATGTTTTAAAAATTAGAAAATTAGGGAACAAAATGCCAAGAAAAGGAAATACTTGGGTATTATTCTGTTCTACACTTTTATTTCCCTTTTGTTTAGCAATCTCTCCAAATCATCGAACATTTGTTTGGAATTTATCATTTTTTCAGTACTTCTAAGACTTGGAAATTGTGTGCTAAATTAAAATTGATAAAATTAATCTTAAGATTTTGTTCAGATAGCAAAATCATCATTGTTAGATTATACTTGACAGGTAGTTTTGCTGGGATTTACTCAATAAAATTGTTGCTTGAAGTTTTAAGACTAGAATGTAAAGGGGCTGGGGATTTAACTCAGTGATTTCTCCACCTGCTGCTCAAGCTCAAGGACTGGAGTTCGATCCCCAGTACCAAAAAAACCACCAAAAAACCCAAAAAACAAAAGACTAGAATATAAAATTTTAGCTGTAGGGGTTAGGACTCTTCAAATTGCAAGTGACAAAGATTTAACCTAAATGTACACATGACCACCAAGTCCAGGGATGTTTTGATTTAGGGAAGAAATTAGCTCCATCTCTTGGGTCTGTTTTCCCTTGTTTCCTTTATGCTCACTTAGTACCATCCTCTTTACCGTCTTACCTCTAGATTTCTTGCCATTATACCCTTATATCCTGAAAAAGAATGATATCTTCTTTGTTATACCTTTGGTTGGAGAGGGAGAGTAGAAGAGTGAGGTGGTGGAAGGAAGTGCAAGCTTGTCTATCTTCTTTCTCCAGAAATTCTAGCAAAGATCTCCTTTTGTCATACTTATTTTAAACAATTTACTGAGATGGTGATAGTGAATTGACTCATAACTAATGATAAATAATCATAAGTAACCCAAAATAAATTTAAAATAGTAATTTTAGGGAGATATTTGAGAGACAAGTCATATATGTCCAATGTAGTCATAACTTGCAAGGAATTTACTGAATGTAGGTAAGGAAAAGACAAATATAATGAATAGATTACTTGTAATTTTCTCTGATGCTATAATACTATTTTTAATAATATTTACTGGAACAGTGACATTATGCTAGTATTGTGATCCATTTGCCTCTGGTTTTTCTTTTCTTTTTTTCATTAAGTTTATTGGTACATTTTAGATATACAATACAGTTACATTCATCATTGGGAACTTGTACCTTTACATGATGTATCTTGGTTCTTATTTTTTCCCCATTCCCCTGCCCTCCCTTCAACTCCTCCACCCATCCCTATTTACAGACTTTGTTTCCATTTTTTCCTTTTCTCATATTTTTTTCCTTTCCCTTCTTTCCTTTCCCTTACCCCTCCGACTTTCCCTACCCATTTAGACCTTTTCTTCCTATTTCACATTATCAATTATACATCTTGATCCTTATTTATACTTTTAGTTTCTCACACCAGAGAAACTATTCGGTATTTACACGTGTGTGTCCTATTTATTTCACTTAAGAATATGGCCTCAGTAGTGTGCATCCATTTAGCTATAAATGTCTCTAGTTTCTTGTTCTGCCTCTGGTTTTTCTTGAGCAAGGTACTTCCCATATTCATATTCCCATGGGAATATGAATGGGGAGCCTATTATATATTAATAATAACAACAGTGATTATATTTCATCTGTCTAAAAATTACTGTCTGGGAATTTTACCCCTTCAGAATCCAAAAGTATGAAGGACCTCTGAGAGATTAAAATATCAATTACAAAATTTACTTGCATTTTGTCAATAAAAAATTTCTCATGTAATTTTTAATTTAATCTTGATTTTAATAAATACAGTTTTCTGGTTTCAGGTTTCCAATGGAAGTAAGCAGAAGATATGCTATAGGCAGTACAATGATGGCAGATAGTGTAGAGACAATAAGGAAAAAGGTTTAAAATTTTAAAAACAGGTGAAATTTATTGTAGAAGTGACTAGTGCTGACTACTTCTGGGGCTCTAAGGGTATAAATCACTTTATTGTATTTTTTTTTTTTAGTACCAGGGATTGAACTCGGGACCTTGCGCTTGCGAGGCAGGCGGTAGAACCGCTGAGCTAAATCCCTGGCTAAATCACTTTATTATGGCAGAGTAAAAGAAAATGTTGGTAAGAATAAGTCTGAAAAAAAATATTTTAAAGAAGGCAGGAAATAAGAATGTCTCTCAAAATACATATATGCCTTTAATCCAACATTTTCATTACTGATCTCTCCTGAAGAAAAACGTATGCAAAGATGTATGTACCACAATTAATTGAAGAGGGAAAAAAATTCCTACCTAAATGTACCTGTTAAAAGAATGATGAAAAATACTGTTATAAAGGTAGTTTTACAAAAGTAGATCTACCACAGTATTTAAACTTAAAAGGTTATTCAGTCCATCACTGTAAAAAGCAAGTTGCAGAACTGAATGTACAGTAAGATCTCCTTATTGCTTATTTGAGATTATGGATAGTTCTGTAAGTATTCTGAAGTAGTCTAGAAGGATATACCCCAAATAGTAATTACCTTTGGCAGAATGAGAGAGGGGAGAAAGTTTTACTTCATGTATTTTTGAATTATTGAAGTACTTTTAGTGATTTTACATGCTTTTGAAATTTAAAAGTTGTTCTTAAGCAAAAAAGATGGTATGCTTCAAAAGAGAATCCTATTGCAAATTCTAAAATACAAATTAATAATTTATATGCTAAAGCTTTAGCAATCTGAAATATTTAACTATCCAGGATAACTTAGCCTCATGTTTCTTGATGGCTAAGGTTTTGCTAGAGTAATAGGACTCACTGAATTAAATGGCCGACTTGTTTGCCTCTGTCCTGAGATTGATAATAGCCATTAGTTTTCACTTGTAAAAAAGAGGGGGCATTGAATCTCACTTCACTGAAGCTAGAACTCACAATTATATGATATGAAAAATTTAATTTTATAGTGAGAAAGTGGTTTCTATTATATATAGACATTCTAGATTAGTGATTTTTCCTCTTTCGAGGAATGTAACACATGTAAGGAATTTGGCACATTTCCAGCCTAACAATGGCACTAGCAGTGATTTTCAACCTGCTTAGGTCAGGATTATTGGATAATGTTGAGTTATTTGAGTGAGGAAGAGTTGGGAGGAAACATTTTTAATTTAAAACCACCTACTCCCTTCCCTCACTCTATTGAGATTTGCTGCTTTGGATGAAGTCCTAGTAAATGATTGGATTATCAGCTGCTGTTTATAGTACATTTTGTTTGAAGGGAAGAGGCTTGCCTTGTTTATTTCCTCTTCTTTAATGGGAAAAATTCTTTTAACTTCCCCCGTTTTTCTTACTGCAGAAGTTCATTTCACACATAGGAGGAAAAATGTGCTGCCTAGTGAGGTACTTCCTCCTATATAATAATTATGCTTAGAATGTTAATTAAATATTTATGTTTTAAATACATTGTAAGACTAAAAATTTTCAATTAAATTCTTTTCACTATTCTGTTCTTGTGTTTTGATGGATTTGCTTTAATTTTAGGTGGGCTGTTGGTATTGATTGATTTTTGGAATTGATATAAGATGGGAATAACTTGAAATCAATATATCTGATTATGTTTAGAGCCATAGTTTATAGACAATGATAGTGTCAAACTTTTTGTTTGTTAGTTTGTTTTGGGGATTGAACTCAGGTCCTTGTGCTTGTGCAGCAGGCAGCGAAACTACTAAGCTAAATCCTCGGCCCTGATAGTATCAATTTTGATTGATGCTAAATGGTGATTTTATATCCCTTGGTGCTGTTTTTGTTTGTAACCACATAAATAACTGAAATAATTTTTTTTTCTTGTAGTACTGGGAATTGAGCCCAGGGCCTTGTTTCATGACAGGCAAGTGACCTGCCACTAAGTACTCATAAGCCTGGAGTTCTTTTGCTCAGTCTAGGATAGAAATCATGAAAAGACAAAGTGCAGTAGTGTTTTTGTTGTTGTTGTTGTTGTTTTTGATACGTCTCCAGCTCATTTTGGTTTACCAGCTCATCCAAGGGTTATTTTGCTCAATTTGAGATAGAAATCATAAAGAGGCAAGCAATACCATCCAAGTGAGGCTTTATTGGGTCTTATACTTGAGTATGTGGGGGCAGTGTGCAGGTTAGGGTTGATAGACTGCTCCCTGGGGATGCAAGGATTATAGTTTATATAGGCCAAAAGTTAAAAAAAAAAAAAGGTGGTCAGGCTTGTGCATATGATCCCAGGGTTTATGAACATGGCTTGTCAATTCTTTGCTTTTGACACTGGGGCTTGCACTTGACACAGTGATCTGTGCATGTGTGTTGGATTTGCCTGCACTTAGCTCATTAAAGATGATAGAAGTACTCACTGCTACCACTCTAGGAAAGTCATATATTGGGCAAGTTCAGGCCTGTTGTACATGCAGAGATGGTAGGAAAGTTTGGCGGAGGAGTCATCAGCTCCCCAATCTGGGCATTGGTGGAAACAAATATTTTGAAGGCAGCTTGTATTCACCAGGAAACCTTAGAGGGGGAAATCCAGGCCCTTTCTACTCTACGTTTTCCCCCCAAGACATTTTATCCTCCTTAAACATAAGAAATTATGGATGAATGTCTGTATTTTCTATGGCTGTCTGCTGCTGATTAGGGATATTGACTCTGATTTTCTGAAAGTGTAAAAATCTTACAGTGACTCCTGTAATGACCTGATGGGCCCATTTACTCCCCTGAGAGATACAGGTTGGAATTTTTGCCTAAACATTAATTTGGCTTGGAACTGTTATAACCTGGAAAACATAAATTTTACCAAATGCTTAAAAAAATACAAGGTCCGAACATTGACA